TATGATTTGATTTGATTAGTTTGATGATCACCCTAGTGTAACATGTCACAATTAGATACGTCCTTTATCAAAGCAAAATAATATTAGAGTAAGGTTAAAGACTACGTAGAATTAGTGCAAGTCATAGTTTATATCAAAATTTTCTTTTCTAGGACCTCCAAGGTGATTTTATTAATAAATTTTTATATACCAATGGTGATAATACGTAGAAAAAGTTTTTATATTATTGTTATAAATATTTTTTAAACAAAATTCTATTTATAGTTAAATTTATTTGTCTAGAGCGAAGCAGATAACAAGATGAAATGGTGAAATAATTTCACCAAAATAAACATTTGGAATGGTGGAATTTGTGAATTGGTTGAAATTGATTAAATTGGTGAAATCGGTGAAATCGGTAATAGTATCTGTTAGTTGTTTTAAATTTTTCTAAATTGATTAGTTGGAAAGTTGTCAACTAGTTGATTTTCAACTAAGCGATTCGGATCACTAACTAATAGAAAATTGACAAATTGAATTTCTAAATTTTTTCTTTTATTTTGTTATTTATCTATGTTTCCAATGTGGTTTGTAAATTTAATACTAATATATCTTTATCTTATACTGTATATAATTCTTTGTTAATTTTTACTATTAAAGTAAAAATTAAAAATAATAACAGATAAATGGTTTGAAAAATAATATTAATAAACAAAGTAAATATTTTTAAAAATAACCAACTAATCAAAAGTGATAGTTTCAGTTTTAACATGTTTTATTTAGTTAAAAAAATTATAAACAGTTTTTACTCTTTATTTATAAGTTTTAAGTTTTGGTAAAATGCTTAACTACAGTCTAACCTCTCTACAATCACGCCCTTGGTTCCAAGAAATTTCGTGCTTATAAAGAATTGTGCTTATATAGAGGTTAAATTCTTAAGTTTTATATAAGCTAGTTTTATAAATTAGTGTGATTATAAAAGGTTGTATGGAGAGTGACTGTATGGAGGGCAGACTGTAATATTATAGTCAAACTTCTCTAAATGCAATGCCGAAGAGTCTATATGAAAAAATTGGCCCATATTGCGTTTATAAAGATGCATTTAGAAAGATAAATTTAAAAATGATGCATTTATTTAAAAAAATGCATTTTTAAAAGGTAAAATCTATAAATGTCATGAATGAAAATCAAGCAAAACTGTGTGTTTACAGATTTGTCTTAGACCACACAAATTTGCTGTCTTGGTTTTCATAACATGAAGCTTTTAACCAGACCCGGCTTTCCGACTTTTTTTTAAATTTCATATATAAAAAGCTTTTAAAAAATTTTCTACCCGGTTATTAAAACAAATTTTTTTTACAAGTTTTCAAATTTTGGCTCGGCCGGGTTATGTAAACCAATGAATTAATTTTGCATGGCCTTAAATAGATTTCCATTAAAATCTATTGAAATTATGCACAGTATTGTGAGTGGGAACGGAATTTAAGTGGATTTGGAATTTCTTAGGTAGAATTTATTCTATACGTATAAAACTATACGCTAACTCTAAATTCCTAAGAAATTCCAAATCTACTTAAATCCCGTTCCCACTTACAACATATGGGACCTTTGCTAGGAAAATCATTTTCCGATCGGGCTAATTCGAACAAATTCAAACCAATATACTGGTATTTATTTGCATGTAAATCATCTTTGTCATTATTGATTTGAATGTTCATTCGATAAGCTATTGAATCAATAAGGGCAAAAAATGTTTAAAATGTTCCGAATTAGTCCGATCGGAAAATGTCGGAGGGTGATTTTCTATCCCATATATATTTGAATTCGATCATTTTACCTTTGCTCATGACTTTTATAATAGTAACCTGAATTAAAAAAATTAAAATATAATCATAAAATTGAAAACATATATATCTCAACATGCTTGAATAATTCAACTTAGATTATTTCAAGATGTACTTTTATTTGAGTGTCGTTAAAAGAAAACCTGAAAGTTTAAATATAAGTCATATTTAAATTTTCGGGTTTTCTTTTAGCGACACTCATTTACAAGCTTATAATTAATTTTATTGCAAAAAAAAAAAAAGAAAAGAGCTGAGTCGTAAATGTATTTTATTAATTTGTATTATATTATTATTTACAAATTAATTATTTCCATATAATTTTCGCATATTATCACTATATAAAAGTGGAGATAAGGGAATACTTAATTATGTCTCTCAGAAGAGGACAAAAACAAAAGTTCAAAACTTAATCTAAATTAAATCTAAAATTAAAAAGTCCTTGTTTGGCTTGATTCAACAATACTTTTGAATATTAAGAGCAATGTCACGTTGATACCATTATATTATCTAGTTTTTTTAAAAAGGAGAAAAAATTGTTAATTAATATAATGTTTAAGAACGGAATGATGTAGTAAAAAAAGAGTATTGTAAATTAACACTTACTGTCAAAAGGTATCGATAATTCGTATTGTTTTCGGAGGTCATCATCAACTTCCTCCTCTTCTAATTCTTTTGTTTGTAATGGCCTGTTCGTTTTAACAAAATAACTTTCGTCACGAACAAGTAAAGATGCTAGATCAATTGAATTTTTACTTGAAGCATCATAAGATTGTTTAATACGTTGAGAATTAACACCAGACAAGGGAAGTATAGGAAATTTAATCTTTCTACTAGTATATATTGCTTGTGGATGAATCTTTGGAGGAGAAACCATTTTTCCAGTTGTGTCAAGTCCTTTAGCTTTCATATTACTAAGTCTAATTTTTTCAGCATCTTTAAATTCATCAGAATGTTTAGAATATAAATGCCAATCACTCAAGATTTTTACAATTTCAGAAATTTCAGGACGATTAATAGGATCACTAGACCAACATCGTTCCATTAAATCGATATAACATTTAGGAGTATTAGAATCATTTTTAGGACGTAAATTATGAATACTAATATCATCTATTAGTTTTGAATGGCGAGTTTTATCGTAAAATGGAGGTTTGTTTGTCGATAATTCCCACATTAGCATCCCAAAACTATAAACGTCCGATTTTATAGAGTAAGATTTGTTTTGTAAAATTTCAGGAGCCATGTAAGGTAAAAGGTCATTTTTATAGTAACCCACTATTGGAATTGGATCTTTGTTATCACCCAAACCCAATTCATTTACAGGAATTTCTAAGTGGGATTTAAATATCTGGACATTGGAAGCGTGATCACGATGAACCTGTTCACCACGTTGATAAGATTCAAGAGCACAAGCAATAGAATGAAGAATGGCAACTTTATGGGACCAAGTTAGGCGAGCGAAGTGATGAGAGACATAATGTCTTAAGTCCCATTCGCAAGTTTCGGCAACCATCATCAGATGACCTGTGACGGTTTCTCGAGTAACACCAAATAGGCGTATTATAAGACCATTTTTTGTGCGAAAATTATAATGTAATTTTAACTAAAAAGAAAATAAGAGCAAGAGATTTAGAAAGTTTGAATAGGATTATTAAAGTCAATAATAATAATAATAATAATAATAATAATAATAAAATATAATATAATTACCTCTCTTAAAAATATTTTAGGGTCTTTGCCAAGAGAAATAAGGGCAACTTTTATTAAATCTCTCCTGGCCACATATTTATGCTCATGTTCACTCCAGGCATCTTTTGGACCTTTCTTCCTATATATCATATAGTAAAAATAAAATAAAAAAAAATAGGTTAACTTCGTGATTAATATTATTCTTTTTATTTTAAACCACCCTTAAAATTTCATACCAGTTAGCACTATATACAGTTCCGAAACCGGAAGTATCATATTTATTTATACCAATAAAAGATTTGAAGGGTAAAAATTCTAAATATTCAGTGCAATCTTTAGCATTTAATTGTGTTTCTTGAATAAAATTATCAATTTCTTCAAATCCAGTGGTCCAGTTATCAAAGTTTTCACGAAACTGTTGACTTTGACAAGATTGACACCAGTGGCTAGTGACCAAGCATTGATCACATTCAGGACAGAAACTCTTGGCAGTAAACCCCATATTTGACCAAAAAGGACAAAAGTAGAAATATTGCTTCGCCGCCTAATAAGATTAAGGATGAAAGATTGGAATTAGTGAGAACAATCAAATGCAGCTTTTTTTATACCAATTTATGTGTCACAAACAGTTTAATTTGTGTGTCACGAAATGGCGTATGACCGCATAATGGAAAAGTCCGAGAAATCCGTAGACCTTCCTAAAACAATGAAATTAGTTCAAATTGTCGCACAAGTCCAGTATGGAATATTACCACAATTCTAAACTCGGGTAAACATTCTATCCATTCTATCGCTATCGCTATGACACCATAGCTGCAGTCACATATAAACCAACAAAGTGTAACCATTATATGTTCGTTTTCTTATCAATTGTAATCATGTAACGGACCAATGTTTTTTAACCAATCTTAAACAATCAAGTTTGGTTATATTTAGTTGTGGAGCCTAATATGAGAAAAGAATTACAGGTACCGGAGTACGCGAACAAGCGTACTGACTAACCAATGAAAGTAACAAATAACTAATTTCCTTTCTATAAGTCTTTATTTTGCCGCAAGGATGCTTTTAGGCGCATGCATTCTTGTCCAATTAATAAAGATACGATTATAAATTCTTTGTTTGACACAATGAAAAACTCCGCGATAAATTATAAAAAAAAGAAATAAAAAAAACTCCGATATTTATTGATTTTTAGTATGATAAACCTTAAACTTTTCATACGGACATGCACGTACATATTTCCAAAAGTGACAACACGTATCATAAAAGAAAGGGTTATAGCAACTTGTGATCCTCTTACCTACGCATTCATCTTTACTAATTTCGTTAATTTTTCCACATTTGGATTCGTCGAAAAAAATATTCTCACGAGTTGTTTGAGGATGTGTACAGCTAGAATGAACTAAAATTTCATGTTTAACGCGACACTTGATATTTGGAAAGATTGTGTAAGATTGTGTAAGATTGTGTAAGAAAATTACATTTGACTGTGATAACGTGGTGTGGTCAGACCTTGTTTGACAGTACCCATGGTCAGGGACATGTAAAAATATCGATTTGATTTGGCAAAAATATCTTTCGATAAGGCCAAAAATATCGATTTATATCGATTTACCTGATCGAACCAATCAGAATGTAAGTTATGTGGTAACGTGATCAGTAACGAAATTTTCGAAATTTTACTTTTCGCCGTTTGTTGACTGTCTACTTTCCGAAACTT